AAGTTCTAGTTCGTACTTCAACTGATGCAGAATGATGCCCTTCTTCGAGTACAAAATCTCCATCCCTAAGAAATATGTCATATTTCCTAGATCTGTCATCTCGAACTCATTCATCAGAACTTTTTTGAACTTCTTTATATCTTCTGGGCAACTTCCTGTTAGCAAAATATCATCAACATAGAGATACACCAGAATCATATTGTTATCATAGTTTGCACATAAAAGCCATATTCTATCTCACATTTCTGAAACTTCTGCTTCTTGAAAAACGGATCAATTTTTAGATTTCATGCTATGGGCGCTTGCTTCAGTCCATACAGAGCTTTATTCAACTTGTATACCATCCCTTCCCGATTCTTTTTCACAAATCCATGAGGTTGTGACACGTAAACTTCTTCCTGTAATGGACCGTTCAGAAATGAGGACTTCACATCTAGATGCATTAAAGGACAATTTCTATTTGCAGCTAAAGCAATCACCAGTCTGATTGTTTCGTGCCTAGCTACAGGCGCAAACACCTCAAAGTAATCTAGCACAGGTTTCTGAAGAAAACCTCTAGCTACTAGCCTAGCTTTGTGCTTGCCAATTGAACCATCTGGCTTAAGTTTCAACTTAAAAACCCATCTGACGCGGATGGCTTTTTTCTCATCTAGAAGTTTAGTCAATTTCCATGTTTTGTTCCTTTCTATTGCCTCAAGTTCTTCTTTCATGGCATTCATCCATTCTTTCTTCTTGAGAGCTTCTTCAATGCCCACTGGTTTAGAATATACTAACATGGCACACTGAACGACTTCTCCTTCAGAATCAACTTCATTATCCTGCAACATGTCGAAATCTGTAAACCTTCTTGTTTTTTGTCTGATTCTCTGTGGTCTTTGAGCTTGTTCTGAAACTGCACCAGAACTACTACCTTCAGAGTTACCACCTTCAGAGTTTTTCCTTCCAGAACTATGGTCACCACCAGATTTTGGATCATCATCAGCATCTGGATCAGAATCAGATCCATTGTCAGAATCTCCTTCTGACTTATCTTTAGAATCTTCAGAATCAGATTCATCTTTTGAACTTTCTAAAACATCTTCAGAGGCTAACTTTGGTGTTGGCACTACACCAGAATCTGATTGAGACTTGTTCCAATCCCATGCTTCAGACTCTTTCACCACAACGTCTCTGCAGACTTCAACTTTATTAGTTTCTGGACAATAAAGCTTATACGTACCTGTACTATGATACCCCACCAGCAACATTACTTTGCTTCTATCATCCAGTTTTTATCTTCTAGCTTCTGGAACGTGTTTGTAACAGACAGACCCAAACACCTTCAGATGACTGACACTCTGCTTATCTCCAGTCCACTTTTCTAAAGGAACAACTTCCTTCAGCTTCTTCGTTGGACACCTGTTCAGAATATATGCTGATGTGGCAACAACTTCTCCCCATAACACGTGAGGTAGCTTTTTTTTTCTTTCAGCATGCTTCTGGTCATATCAAGCAAACTTCTGTTTCTTCTTTCAGCAAGACCGTTGTGTTGAGGAGTATATGGAGCAGTAACCTCATGTTCTATTTCATTCTCCTCACAGAACTTCTGGAACTCTATAGAGTTATACTCACCTCCATCATCCATTCTCAGAATCTTCAACTTCTTACCACTCTGCTTCTCAACCTTCACTTTGAACTTCTGAAACTCAGTAAACACTTCATGCTTGAACTTGATGAGTGTTACTCATGTCATTCTTGTGAACTCATCCACAAAAGACATAAAATATTTGTTTCCTCCAAGTGAAGGTACTGGAAATGGTCCACACACATCAGAATGTACTACTCCCAGAGCATGCTTCGCTCTGGGGGCTACTTCTGATACAAATGGAAATCTGGGTTGCTTGCTTTTCATGCATATCTCACGTGACTTCTCAAGCTTCACAATCTTAGAAATACCATGTACAAGCTTCTTAGAACATAGACGCCCTAGGATTCTATAGTTCAAATGCCTCAATCTCTTATGCCACAACTTACTGTCACCTTCAGCGCCTTCTGCACTAAGACACGTTGCTTCAACTGTTTCTACATTCACCTTGAAAGTTCTGTTGCTTCCTTGTTCAGACTTCATAATCAACTTCTAATTGGAATCATACAACGTTAAGAGATTGTTTTTCATAACAACTGAGAAACCTTTCTCAATCAGTTGACCCACGCTCATCAGATTGCTTCTAATACCAGGAACATACCAAACGTCTTTGATCATAATGTCTTTCCCATTCTTCACTCTAACTCTAACATCTCCCATACCTTCTACATTAAGATACTTATCATCAGCACATATGATCTTTGTTCTCCTTCTGGAGTCAAAGTCTTTCAGTCATTGTTTGTTTCCAGTTAAGTGATTTGAACAGCCAGTGTCCATATACCACCAATCTTCTGAGTATTTTCCATCAGAATCAGAAGCCATTGGTAGCACAGGTTCATCATCAGAGTTTCTCTTAGCCATATACGCTTCTTCTGATTTCTTTTCCTTGTTTGACCTACAATCTCTGGCAAAATGGCCAAATTGTTTACAAGAGTAATATTGAACCTTCCTTTTGTCATACCTCTCATTTCCTTTATGATATCTCTTATCATCAAGAATTGAGGTTTCTGACTTCTGGAATCTATCACCACGTTTATTCTGCTTCTGGTCTTTCTTGACAAAAGAAGCCTTCAGAGCTTGCTCAGCTTCCCTTTCAGAAGTTCTCTCAGTCAGACGTAACTCCTGTGCTTCTAAGCTGCTTTGCAATTCTTCTATTCTCATGATTTTTAGATCTTTAAAATGTTCAATAGAAATAACAATGTAATCAAACTGAGGAGTAAGCGACCTCAGAATCTTCTCTATAATTACTTGTTCAGACAAAGTTTCTCCACACGTCTTCATCTCGTTAGTGATCAAGATCACTCTGGAGATATATTCAGAAATTTTCTCACTGTTCTTCATGTTCAAGTTCTCATATTGCTTTCATAGAGATTGAAACTTCACCTTCTTTACTGACGCGTCACCACTGTAGCATCTCACCAGTAAATCCCACGCCCCTTTTGACGTTGTCGAATCAGCAATCTTCTCGAACACACTTTCATCCACGCACTGATGGATATAGAGCAGAGCTTTCTGGTCCCTCTTCCTCATAACCCTCTCAACAGGTTTTTGTTCTTCAGTTGCATCTGCTGCAGCTGGTACATAATCATCTATAACCAGATCCATAACATCTTGCCCACCAAACAACACACGTATTTGTATCATCCATCTGTTCCAGTTTTTGCCATTAAAAATTAGGAGTTTGGTGTTCAAACTACTGCCTCAACTCATTTTAAATCTTGCACAAATTTTCAGATCTTCAAACACACTGTTTCCTAACCCACGGAATCAGATTCTGTTCAGATTTTTTGTTCAAGATTTCAACAGAAAAAACAATGAACCAAAATCAAACACACAGCTCACAAACACTCGTGTTTCCCAGGAAAAACAGAACCAAGTGTTTTAGATACCAATTTGTTGGTGCAAGGTAATGAAGTGGGAGAAGAAGAATGAACAAAAAATGATAACAAGAAGACTAATGTTGTATAAAATAGAGGAGATAAAGTAGGAATACAAAATTGATAGCATATTATTGCATATTTATACTAAATATTGAGAATGGCAAAATGTCATATTAAAAGATAAACATTGAGAATTGTAGACATTAACTAAATTACCTTTTCAATACTATTAAAAAAACCTTAGATATTATTTTATAAATGCACCCAACCAAATATATTGGTCTGTATTGAGATATCTTTGAAGGATATTTTCTCTTTGGGATTTATGACCAGAAATGAACTATTTGTACCTTTTACAAACCTCCCGTTAGCATGAAAATCTGACACCATGCTCATAAAGTCTTCTTTGATTACCTCCCAAAAATCTTTCAAGAATCCGAAATTGACTCCGTCTGGCCCTGGGTTTTTTGAACTTTCGCAATCCCATATCGGACTACAAACTTCATCTTCCGAAAATTCTCTGATCAATAACTCATTGTCGGACTCATCCACTTTTTTGAAATCAATATTTGCTGGAACAGGCCTCACCCCCTCCCTTCAAACCATCTTTGAAAATGGTCATGTATTTCTTTTTTTTATCTTTTCCGCCTCTTTCATAATTCTTCCATCCACCTCCAAACTCAGAATTTCATTTTCTTCCCTCTTTCACCCACCTATTCTGAGACCTCTGACATTGGATGCTACATTTAACTTACAGAATTTAGTTAAATATTTAGGAGTTCAAGTAACTTATAGCCAAAAAACAAAAAGCATTAAAATAATAGTCTAGATGTAGTACTAGTATCAAAAGTTGCTTTTTCATGCAGAGTTTATTTGCTCCAAGAGGTTCTTGCATAGGTTTATCTTGATGCAGTATAGAAATTTGTTTTTCTATGGAATAAGAACTCTCAAATAAGATTTAATTAAAGCATAACTACGAGAACTGAAAACCAATTTTAATTCCACCAGAAGTTTACTGCAAAAAAAAAAAATCATCTAACTTGTTGATACCTTAAACTGAGTTTACCATCAAAGAAAATTCAATGATATACTATTAATATTGATGTTCAAATGTTACACTTTTATTCTATGTACTCTAACCATAGAGGTACAAAAAACCTAGCCATTAAATAGACTTGTCACCTTGGATCAGAACAAAATTGCTATTAATATCCATCGCATAAATTACAAAGACACCTACCCTTAAATATCCCTTATTAAAGGTTACAAAAAATGTCACAATGAATCAATTTTTTCCTCAATTTTTATTGTGAATGCATCTGGCAGGACAGTAAATTTGCCTTGCTATACAAGTAATCAATTTTTTTAAATAAGCTCTGTATTATTCCGTATGAATTGATTCACTAAAGTAACTTTCGAAGCTATCTTATGATATAATGTAAGGAAGCCTGAATTTCCAAGCCTGTTGAATATATCCATTGAACAAAAGAAAATGGTCAAACAAAGTCGGGTTGGCCTGTCGAAGTTAAACATCGATGCCACATTCGACTGTTGGGATCCACCAACTGAGGATGCGATATTACTTCGGTGATTGGAAAGTAAGCATAATGTGTGTTACATGTGCCTACTGTAATGCCACTAAATCCAGCAAATGCACCATGAACCTGCAATACAAAAACTGAGAATCAATATCAAATAATAAATGTATAACAAAAAGTAAAATAAAATCAAACTGTTCTCGTATAAGTTATAAGGCGCCTAATAAGATTAGGAGAAGATTTAAACTATTGACGATTTCCTCCTAACCAATATTAGGCGCATAGTGTAACGCGAAACAATTGTGATTAGTTCAAATTTTGCTACGCTATATATCTGTTATTTAACAATGTTGATTAGGATAAAATTTCCTTATGAAAACCAACAATAAAAGTGAAATCGCACATATCGAACAATGGGCAAAGATCGAAAAGAAGAGTGACTAACCGCGTTTTGTCCAAGTACGGTGCATAAAATTCCATCTGAAGCATTTGCTCGACACGCACGGATCATGTATGTTGGATCAATATATTTCACATCAGCATGAACACCAATCTCCTTGAAATATTTTTTCGTCTGAAACAAAAAACAATTGTTATTTGTTGGAAGTCACACACACACACACTTTTCATGAAGTCTCAACCCATTTAGGTTATTGTAAGCAATATAAGCAAATAATAACAAACCTCTTTTTGGATATAAACGCCAATGTCTCCAAATATAACATTCCCTGAAGCATCAGTAGCATTAGTTTTTTTAAGTAAATTCTGCATCAGGAAGATAATATTGATTAGCAAGTTTGTATTTCTACGTCCGGCATTATATTCTTCTAGAAAAATAATAATATCAGTAATGCAAGTTTTGTCGAATGCTGTAATGATTACAAAATCTAAATCACCTGTCCAGCTCCCTCTGCTACACAAACTACAGCTGATCCCTGTGATTCTATAAGGTACTTGAGATGACTCAAAACTCCATGAGGTCCATGCAAATTGAAAGGAACCTTTGAACCGCAATAAAACTTGTATCAATACGACAAAGAAAGAGAGCTATATGTTGAGTTTTCATTTTACATACCTCGGGAATTAGACATATGTCAATCTGTCCACTGGCTAGTGAAGATTGCATTGCGATGAATCCACTACTACGACCCATTAATTTCACGATCCCAATTCCATGATATGCACTATGCGCCTAATAAGATTAGGAGAAGATTTAAACCGTGTTTTCAATTGCAGATTGTGGAAAATGGCAATTTGTTAAAATTGGGCTATGTAACAATGCTATAGTGCCTCTGTAGCGGTTATTTCACAATATTTGGACGTAACAGTATATAGCTGAACAATAGCGATTTGTTCTAATTCCACACTGTCATTAGCGGCAATTTAACAAATAACTATGACAGGATTTACCAAATAGAAAATAATATTTGGTTTTGTCAAAATGATTCATCATCAAGTATTTACCTCAATGTATGCAGAATTTATTGCTCTTTGGGCTTCTTCTACTGCAGTGTCAAAGCCAAAAGTTTTGTCCATCAACAGAATGTCATTGTCTATAGTTTTCGGCACTCCAATTATCGACACTTTAAGCTTTCTTTTACAGCACTGAAAGCAATACAATCTTAAAATCATTAGACTTTCAAGACATGTTTATACATTAACGTTTCTATCAATTTCAACTAATCGGATCCCAATAGATACTTTCCTTAAATGATCCAATTGAATGCAATTAATTAATACAAGGGTTAACGAATAAAAACCTCGTCGTGAATTGCATTTGCACCAGCATGTGTACCATTTCCACCCAACACGAAGAGCATGTTGATCCCTCTTTCCTGCAATCAATAATATGCATATATAAAAAATCAGTATATATACTACAATGTGCACACGCAAGCGCGCGCACACATTTATAGGCACCTATTAGTTCTAAATGGAATAATCAATTTAATTAATAGAATGAATCGATTAACAACCTCCAAACTGTTCACAATGTCACTAACTTCAGGTCCTCCGCGGGAAACTCCTAATAGGCTTCCACCTGAGAGATGAATATTTTGAACTACTTTCCTCGAAAGCTGTAATTGAAATCACAATATACTAAATAGTATTAGAAAGACCTCAAGTTCAATAGACTTAATATCAAACTTGTCGAATCAATTATTGTTAAGATCAAAGTCAGCAAGAAGGGAAGTATGAGATTACCGGTACTTCTGTCAAATCTTTGTCAGAAAAGCCGCGATAGCCAAAAGGAATACCAACAATCTTTTTTACACCATATATTTCAAGTGTGATTACAATCTGCAGCATATTCATTATTGAATCAGAAATGTGATTTTTATTTTTCAAAAGCTTAACCTTTAAACAAACACTCTGAACCAAACAAATTGATCACAAACAAACCTGTCTAATGACATCGTTTAGACCAGGACACAGTCCTCCACAGGTAACAATGGCTGCCTTTACTTCTTCTGGTTTGAAGTATATATTTTTCCGAGGTCCAGCTCGATGAACCCTACAAGGATATCAAAACCTTTTACCATACCATCATACACTAATCTCGGAAACAAAATTCTACGCGTCAAGGAGACATTGAAACTACATACTATAAGCAACATAACCATTTGGTAACTTCAAAAAAAAAAAAAGAATTATTAACTATTTTGTTCATAAATTTTCAGAACCTCACATTCTTGCCCTCACAGTAGCAGAATTAACAAGGTGATTGCAATCAATGTTAAGTTCTTTCATTTCAAATCAACCTCCCAAGTTCCAATTAAATAAGACGCACCATTATATTCAATATAGTGACATTAATACCCCTTCAACTAACACACGCGTAATCAGTCATTATATTCCAGATTAACATTTCGAAATCAAATACTTTACCATTGTTCTACCCAATTACAACCAGGATCAATGCACTCGGCGCCAGCAGATGTGGGTGATGAATGGTATATTGTCTGAAAGATCAAAACAAACAAAAACATTAATTCTCAACAATGCTAAAACATGAGTGTTGTCAATTGCATATTGTTAAAATTTCCACTATCCAATAGTGCCATAGCACCATTGATTTCATCCTCAAACACATCATTGCACACGACTTTTCTTAAAAAAGGACTAATATGACTCAAAATCTTCACACAAAAAAAAAATCAAATATCACAAGTTAAGAAGACAAAAAATTGAAACTACCTTAAGCAGCACTCTATCATTATCATTAATATACCCATTCCACTCCTCATCAGACTGATAATTCCCCGGAACACCACTCGTCAACGGAGTCCTGCCACACAAAAACAAACATCGTAAATCTCAAACACTTTAAACGACAAAAAACCAAAACACAAACCAATTACAAACCTCATTTTGAGACAAAAAGTAGAAGGCATAGAAACAGATTCAGGAAACGTATCAGTAACATGAGGTAATCTAAACCGCGCTTCGAAATCCTCTTTGAACTTGGTTGTCCAACCAGGATCAGTATAATCAATTCTCGTCGTGTTGTTCTGGCTCTTAAGCTCGGAAAAGACGCGAACGTTTTTCGCGGCTCTGAATGAACGGAAACGACGGTTGGAGTAACGGAGTGTAGAAGTCGTTAAACCATGACGAAAGGTTGTTGTGAGTTTAGGGGTGGTGATCACGTGCGGGAGCGTATCCATCAATTTTGTGATCGTGTGAATTCAACCGGAGACAACGAGGAGAAGGAGAAATAAATAAATAACTACTTCTTTTTTTTTTTTGTTTCTGGTTCGTTAGGTAGTTGGTTTTTTTAAAGAGTTTTTATCGAATGAAGAAAATATAAAATCAATGATGTTAAACTTATTAAAAAGAATTACAGTCCAATTCTCTTGAATTATAATCGAAAAAGAATTGAAATCACTGATCCCTGAATCGGATTAATCGGTTTAAAGAAAAAAAAAAATAGAGAGTAGAATAATGTGAAAATTGGTGTGTACTTTTTTGTGGAGACGGCAACTGTTGTTTTCAACTGCTGATTATTTATATATTATTGTGAATCTTAAAATATAGTGTTACTAGGAAACTTTAAATTTGTTGATATTGTTTTTGTTTGTTTTATTTTTGGTATAGAAGATTAATTTTTTGGTCAAGTTTCAGTAAATGTAGACCGTTGATTAATAAAAAGAAGTAAATGTAGACCGTTGAGTTGAAATAAGAAAAAGATATGAAACAAACTTGATAATTAAGTATTTTAGGCAAAAACCTCGCAGGTTCTTTGTTATCACTTATTATCACGTTGGATCCAATTCGTTGTCAAGTAAGAATTATTTGAATAAAAAAAAATTATATATATATATATATATATATATATATATATATATATATATATATATATATATATATATATATATATATATATATATATATATATATATATATATATATATATATATATATATATATATATATATATATATATATATATATATATATATATATAGGATAAATTTAAATTTATTTTAAATTAAATTTTTTTAAAATAAAAATTATAAGATAATAATTATAATGAATAATTGAGATTTATTTTTCGTCTATCTTACTTTCATATTTTCTTATTAATAAATATTTTTCTTCGTTAAAGATATTTTTTTCACCAAAAGTTGTTTATCTTTAAATATAAATTTTTATTTTTATTTAATTTTTATTCTCTATTTAAAAATATTGGTGTATCTTTAAAAAGGTAGAAATGATAAGTCTAGGTAAAATTACAATAGCAGTTATATTTTAAAGAATTCTATTTATTAAAAATACAAAATTTAAGGACAATAAGAATAGAGTATTACAAACTTAAAAAAAAAAAAAAGTATTAGGAGTGTAATCAATTTGAATCGATCTTTTCATCAAAAAAATTAATGTCTAATCAAATCATTTTGTTTCATTTAATTTAAAGTGTTTTTAATAATGAAACTAAAACAAACTTTTCAGAATAGTTCGATTCGGTTGATTGATTCGCAATAGTTCTTTTTTAAAACATTATAATTATTTATGTATTCTCTGTTATTATATTTTTGATGTATTTCTATTATTATTTTTTAAATAATACATTTCATTAATCTACTTCTCATCATTATACTTAATCATGCAATCTTTAGCAACACTTACACAAGTATGAACTTTAAATCTAGTATTAGTCACAATAACAAAATATCTAAATCCTTTATCTATAATATAAGAAAGTTATATGTTATGGAATTAATATGTCGTTTGCTTATAACAACCCACCTCTTTGAATCGGGGGTAATTGTTGTCTAATATTTATGTTTTTCAACCAATTCAAATTGTGGTTACAACCTGTTCTGGACTGGGCCGGGCTGACCCAAAAGCAATGATGAAGGCCCAATCCAAACGGTCTTGCAAGGGGTCACGCCGACCAAGAAGCCACAGCCGTGCCCGACACTCTCCGCTAATACGACATCCTCGACTTCATGCAGTCCAGCTCGACCTCAGCTCGAGCGCCCCTCGTAGGGCAGACTCTAACCACTACACCATCACCTGGATCTCGAAAAGACCGCGTCCTCGTCCGTCTGTACTTCTCGCAAAACATCCAGGAAGGAGACCACGTGCGGGTCCCCACTACACACGTAGAACCTGGCAGTTCCTTCATTGGGCCAAACCTGCCCGGCCCAATGAAGGGACCTTGGCCCAGCGCTAGGGGCTATAAATACCCTATGTTCCCAGAGGGTCAGGTATTCATTATTTTACCCATACTCATACTTTTGCCTGCTCGTACTCTTACTCACTTCAGCATCGGAGTGCCTTGCAGGTACCCCCCCCCCCCCATCTCGTTCAACTTCAGCTCGGAGTCAGTCGTGACGGTCCAAGTCTGATCCGGTAAGATCAGTGGCGCCGTCTGTGGGAAACTAGCTTCCCCGTCTTGCAAAACTCAAAGACCAAAGCTCAACTCAACTACCACTGTCATGGCTGACCAAGCTCGCGATGAACAAAACGTCTGCGTCGTCGACACCAACAACGGCCCCGCGGACAAAAACGGACACCTTGACAACACCGGCAACCCCGGTCACAACACCATCCCTGCATCAACGGCCCCCGGTCCTTCGACCCACCGCGACGGAGCTACCGCGTCATCTTGCTCGGTCCCTCCGCCGCTCGAAGAGGACGATGCAGCTCTCGCGAACTACCGGGCTGCCCAGTTTCAGGAAGTCCCCGTCCCTGCCGGGGCGGACGCCACAACTCGAGCGCTGTTCGCAGCGATCAATCAGATAAATTACCTCATCTTCGCCCAAGGGGAAAGATTGAGGGCACTTGAAGACGATCGAAGACCCCCGAGGAGTCATCGGAGACCTCAGACTCCACCTCCTCGAGTGACTGAAGTTCATCTCCCGTCTCCCCCGCGGAGACATTATAGAGATACCTCTCGAAGCCCGTCGCCCCGCCCATCGGGGAAACGGCCCCCTTTGGAGAGGCAACCCATCATCGAAGCCGGAGGACGCGGCCGCGCCCCCGTGAGACAGGAAAGAAGACACTCCAGAGACGGGCGTGGAAGAATCAACCAACGAGCACCACGCTCGAGAGATGCCCAGCACGACCAGGACCGTCGTGCCCGACAGTATTACAGGTCCCCATCTCTGTCCCCGGAGCGGAGCGACGAGGACGACCCCCGCGGTCCCCTGTCGCAAGCTATCATGGAGGCGCCCATCCCCCCGGGCATGGAGAAGCCTCCACACTTGAAGGAATACGATGGAGTCGCGGACCCGGTCGACCACATAGACGGGTTCAAGGCTATGCTGCACTATCACAATGTCGGGGGCCCATCAAATGCCGGCTGTTCCCCACGACCCTCAGGAAGGCGACAGTGGACTGGTACAAAGGACTCGCCCCAGGGTCAATCACGTCGTGGCGGAACCTGAAGAAACAGTTCATCAGTTCATTCACAGCATCTCGGCGACACCTAAAGACCGAGGCGGCTCTCGAGGCCATCATCCAGAGACAGGATGAAACCTTGAGAGAGTTCATCAATCGCTTCAACCGCAAAGCCATACAGGTCCCCTGCGCGGACCACATGAAGAGATATCTGCTGGAGAGGGGGCTCCTCCCCGGCACGGAATTCAGAAAGGCCGTGGGCATCGAGCCACCTAGAACATTCGATGCCCTCCTCGAGAAGGCCCGGGCGTACATGGATTATGAGGAGAGAGAAGCGGCCAACAGAGCCCGAGACCCCAGGACTCGTGGGTCCAACAGCAACCCGCGCCAGGAAGCTGCTCCTCCTCGACGAACTGGGGAGAAAAGAAGACAGACCCCGGGAAGTCTGAGAGCAAAGGGGACCCTCGGGGCGTTTTACCGAGTACACTCCGCTCACATCTTCCCGCGAGCGCATTTTGGCAGAGTGTGCCAGCACAGACTTCAAGGACGGCGGCGTCAAACGTCCCCGACCTGCTCCCGCCAAGCCCGGAGCAGACAAGAACAAGTATTGTCAGTACCATAGGAGCCATGGTCATCTGATTGAAGATTGCGTCCACCTCAAGGACGCCATCGAAACCCTCATCAAGGGAGGAAGGCTCGCACAATACCGGTGAAACGACGCTCCTCGTCGTGACGCCCTGGAGACAAGAGAGTCGGAGGAAGACGCCCGACCATCTGACGAGTCGATCCCCATCCAGACCGCCTTCTCCGTGACCAGACCCGAGGACTTCGACGTCCCCGAACACCTGCGAGAGCCGCTCACAACACACAGCAGGTGGGAATATTTCCCCTCCGCCATGGTCATCAACGGCGGAGGATTCAACGACTTGACCATTAATTCGACTAAGAGGAAGCTGGATGAGCTGGTCGACGCGGCACCCCCGCAAACAGTGACATTTGAAAGGGTGAAGGGCAAGTCAGAACCCATCACCTTCTACCTAGAAGAGCTCCCCGGGGGAGCCCCCAACGCGGTCATCCCCTTGCTGATAAGGGAAAGAATGGCCAACTTCGATGTGCATCGCATCCTCGTCGATGAAGGAAGTTCCGTCGATGTAATGTACAACCAATTGTTCCGAACTCTGCAGCTGGACGACTCACATCTCTCGCCATATGTAGGGTCGGACTTACAGGGTTTCAACGGCTAGACCTCCAAACCTTGGGGATATGTCGAGCTCCTGGTTACATTCGGCGAAGGAACAGCGACAAGACAGGTCAAAGTACACTTCCTCGTCATCGACTGCCCTTCCCTCTACAACTGCATCCTGGGAAGACCAACACTGGCAGAACTGACAGCGGTGCCCTCCACCGTCCACCTGAAGATGAAATTCTACACCAAAAGGGCACGGGTAGCTACTATCCAGGGAGACCTAGCCGCTGCTCGGAGGTGTTTCAACGCTGCATCTAAGGGACGCGACACTGTCGACGTAGGGACAAGGCCCGCCAAAAGACCAGCAACGACGCGACAGGAGCCCGACAAGCAAGAGTCCGCCAAGGAAGAAGTCCAGAAAGCTCCACCAAAGGTCGACTCTATAGCTCTAGACGCTCGTTTCGATCAGGACGAACCTCCCAACGGCGAGAAAGTTCCACTCTGACCAATACCGGACGGGGATTTTGAGCTTGTCCCCCTCGGCACAGACCCGAGCAAAGGAGTAAAGATTGGCAAGGATCTCCCCGACCTGGCAAGGAAGCAAATCAAAGCCTGCTTGCGCGAGAATGCTGA